AAATGGTTCAAACCACAAAAGCAGAGCTCTTTCCAAGGGAGAACGTAATAATAGTGATGTAATGCCACGACTGACGGCTTCAGCAGCGAGCTCCTTCCCACTGGCGGGAGATGAGTTCAGGTCTTGCCAAGATGCTCCACAACAGCATCGCACGTAAGCTGCAGCAGTGACCTGCGTGCGCGTGCCGTTTTTGCGCGCACAAATGGGATTATTGAAGTCGTGGTAGTCTCTAACATTTCCCAGTTCTCAATTCTGAGTCTAAACACAGCAACATGATTGTCTTAGAATTACAACACAAATTGCAAAATCCTCTCGACACGTTCCTCTCCAACACAATTGGAAACTACTCATGCAAACCAGGTGCCTAGCCACCCTTGCTGTGACCATCAACTCACGGTTGTGCCAGTCCAGCTGATACCACAATTGTTATCAAGCTACATAACAATCAACCTACCGGTGCAATAAGCAACAACTATGCACACCATTTTCGCGAAAACCACATAACCACAGTTGCCAAAAAGCGACCATCTGGATTGTGTCATTAACTCATGATGATGATGATGATGATGATGATGGTGGTGATGGTGATGGTGATGGTGATGGTGATGGCGATGGTGATGATGCTGCTGCTGCTGCTGATGATGATGATGATGCTGATGCTGATGCTGATGATGCTGATGCTGATGCTGATGCTGGTGCTGATGCTGATGCTGACGATGATGCTGATGCTGATGCTGACGATGACGATGACGATGACGATGATGATGTGATGACGACGACGACGGCGGCGACGGCGACGACGACGATGATATGATGATGATGATGTTGATGCCGATGACCAAACTCCACCTTGATCATGCAACTCGTTCTCAAACAAAAGCTCCTCACCGGGCCGTTCACGCAACTGTGAACCCCTGCAACAAAAGCAACCCTTCAACGGGGTCCCCACAAATTAAGAAACAGCTTCCATCGGCAAGTTACCCTTTTGTTTGTGATGGGTCACGAGGCCCAACCACCACCCCACACACCCCACAGCGGTCCGGCCGCTCGAAAAGTCTCCCTTTTCACTTGTGGGGAATCCCAATGTTTACCTTTCGGGCTGCCATGATTGAAACTGGTTGATGTGCCAAGGGCTAACTTCCACCGGTTTGCGTTGGACGCCCACGCCCAAACTCGATATGCCCGGGTCAAAATTCCGTACCCCCAATGAACATCCCAATCCCCAAAACGGTACCATTGGTTTTGACCCACAGCCATATCTTTTATCTCGCCCCCCAAAAGGGGCACAAAAGAACCTCCACTTGGTTTGCGTCTCCATATGCAGCAAGGCAAAGCCAACTTGTTGGGAAGTTTCCACCCTTTCGTGACTCTTTCACGCTTCCATCTGTTCCCCCCAAAATCGGATCACTGAATTGAGTTCCACCAAACAACATACAAAAAAACACATTTCTCTCACACCCGAGCGACCACCGCCCAAACACGAGCGACCACCGCAGCGAGCGAGCGACCACCGCAGCGAGCGAGCGAGCCGAGAGCAACGAGCGACCGCTTCGAGTATACTCGTCCTTTTGAGGGAAATAGATGGGTTTCCCTGGTAGATGATTAAACCACCCAGTGAAAACCAGGAATCGCCATCCATTTTTCCAGCGAAAGCAACCAAGCAGGACACCTATGGTACCTGTTTTTTTTTTTTCCGCTGGTTTTCAAGGGAAACACCCTTGAGGGTTCGGAAAATAAACAATAATAAAACAAAAAGTGTTTTCTCAACCCGGGGTCCCGTAGCTGTTCTCTGTTGGGTGGTTCTGAAGGCAAAGCAAAAAAGGAAGAGCTACACCGAGTCGAGCGCGCTGCGCGCGTCGATCTTCGCGCGTCGCCTGGCGGCGGACTTCTCGGAGGCCGCGTTCTGGCGCTCCAGGTGCTGCTCCACGCGGCGCAGCAGCAGGTCCCGCACCAGCAGGGCGATGCAGACCACCACCAGCAGGTCCACACACTCACCGATCAACACGAAACTGCCTCAGCTCTCAAGGTGTGTGGCTGTTTGGAAGTGCTTGGGTGGAAGTGGAGTGGACTGCTGGGTTGGAAGTGGTTGGGTGGAAGAGGAGTGGAATGCTTGGATGGAAGTGCTCGGTTGGGAGTGGACTGGACTGCTTGCTTGGAAGTGCTTGGTTGGAAGTGGATTGGACTGCTTGCTGAGAAGTGCTTGGGTTAAAAGTGGACTGGACTGTTTGTGCTTGGCTGGAAGTGGATTGGACTGTTTGCTGGCAAGTGCTTGGGTGGAAGTGGACTGGACTGCTTGCTGAGAAGTGCTTGGGTTGAAAGTGGACTGGACTGTTTGTGTTTGCTTGGAAGCGCTTGGCTGGAAGTGGATTGGACTGCTTGCTTGAAAGTTTGGACTGCTTGCTTGAAAGTGCTTGGGTGGAAGTGGATTGGACTGTTTGCTTGGAAGTCCTTGGTTGGAAGTGGATTGGACAGTTTGCTGGGAAGTGCTTGGGTGCAAGAGGATTGGAATGCTTGGATGGAAGTGCTTGGGTGGAAGTGGATTGGACTGCTTGGTTGGAAGGGATTGGTTGAAAGTGGATTAGACTGTTTACTTAAAAGTACTTGGTTGGAAGTGGATTGGATTGTTTGCTGGGAAGTGCTTGGGTGGAAGTGGATTGGACTGCTTGGTTGGAAGTGCTTGGGTTGAAAGTGAACTGGACTGTTTGTGTTTGCTTGGAAGCGCTTGGCTGGAAGTGGATTGGACTGCTTGCTTGAAAGTGCTTGAGTTGGAGTGGATTGGACTGCTTGCTTGAAAGTGCTTGGGTGGAAGTGGATTGGACTGTTTGCTTGGAAGTGCTTGGACTGTTTGCTGGGAAGTGCTTGGGTGCAAGAGGATTGGAATGCTTGGATGGAAGTGCTTGGGTGGAAGTGGATTGGACTGCTTGGTTGGAAGGGATTGGTTGAAAGTGGATTAGACTGTTTACTTAAAAGTACTTGGTTGGAAGTGGATTGGATTGTTTGCTGGGAAGTGCTTGGGTGGAAGTGGATTGGACTGCTTGGTTGGAAGTGCTTGGGTTGAAAGTGGACTGGACTGTTTGTGTTTGCTTGGAAGCGCTTGGCTGGAAGTGGATTGGACTGCTTGCTTGAAAGTGCTTGAGTTGGAGTGGATTGGACTGCTTGCTTGAAAGTGCTTGGGTGGAAGTGGATCGGACTGTTTGCTTGGAAGTGCTTGGACTGTTTGCTGGGAAGTGCTTGGGTGCAAGAGGATTGGAATGCTTGGATGGAAGTGCTTGGGTGGAAGTGGATTGGACTGCTTGGTTGGAAGGGATTGGTTAAAAGTGAATGAGACTGTTTACTTAAAAGTACTTGGTTGGAAGTGGATTGGATTGTTTGCTGGGAAGTGCTTGGGTGGAAGTGGATTGGACTGCTTGGTTGGAAGTGCTTGGGTGGAAGTGGACTGGACTGTTTGGTTGGAAGTGGTCTGGTTGGAAGGGCATCGAAGTACTTTGCTCAGCGTGCTTGGCTGAAGCGCTGAAGCAAATGCGCTTTCCTAATAAGTAGGTTCGTCTCGTCGCATGGACTGCTCAACATCTTTTAAATTTTATATACGTCTTCAGGCAACAAACACAAGCACCAGTCGACTGCGGCACAACGTAGAAGGTAGCTGGCAGCATGCGGCGGCAAATGACCAATTCAGACCTTGTACGTGAGGGAGGGTTTGAATAGCATGTATCCACCTGCCATATACAAATGCATGCATTACTTTACAATATACAATGTGTATCCGCCGCAAAAACTATCAAGCAAAAGGCTAGTGTCCCGATGTCGACCAAGCCACGCCAGCCAAGCTGACCAGTCTCGCACTGGTCCGTGCCTTCAACGATAAACAGCTTCAGGTTCGTGGAGATGGAAGTGATCGCATTGCACAGAATGACCAGCCAAATGCGACTTGGCATGACCACGGAGGGCAGCTGATAGGCCGAGAAGACCAAGCACCGGGAGGTATTGCCGCAATGAGGCGGTGCAGAGAAGGGGCTCACGTAGGCCCAGGTAAACGCCATGAGCAGCACGTAGGCGGCGTCGTACTTCATCAGGGAGGGCTGAAAGAGCAAGAGCGCCACCACACCGAAGTGGCCCAGCGACATCCAGGCGGTGAACTCGGTGACCCAAGCGCGGCTGTGGAGACCGATGCGGATCTGGTGTCCCAAAATGCAGACCAACAAGCCCACAAAGTAGATCCACATGAGGCGATGGGACATGCCGAAGCGCATGGTCTCCATCTCTGCCTCCAAAAGCTTGTCATTCTCACGCGCTGGAAACAGCTTGGACAAGGTCTTCCGCGCTTCCTCGAATGCACCCTGCCAGTCTGTCACAAACTTCCTGAAGGACTTCCTCCGAAAAGCCAGCATCGCAAGCAATGCGAAGACTATCAGCAACTCAACTGCAATGGAGACCGCAAGAAACGGGTGACCGTGCCATTCCGACCAAATTTCCTCCTCATCATCATAGTCATCATCATCCTCCATGTCGATATGCACATGCGGCACTTGAGCACATACTGGTTTCATTAAGTTTTGCTTTGCATGAAAGCTTCCAGCCATTCATGACCCTTCATGCCGTGGTGATCCGATGATCCGCACTCCACAAAATGAACCAGGCTAGCTGAAAGGGCCTTCACAAGTCAAACAAGGACAATCAGCATGCTCCGTTGAACGTGATATCTACGTACACCCCGAACATCACCCTCAAGCTCTCTTTCTCAGTAAGCAGTCCCGTTTCCACCCAAGCAGACTAGTTGACTAGCTTTTGAACGTTGATTTTACTCCGGTCTCCCTTCTCCTTGTCAAGTGGCACGTATCAGAACTTAACATATTCAATTTGAATTCACATTGCCTTCATTACATTACCAAGCCACTCAACACAGTCGACAGCAACACAGTCGAAGGATCGTTCTCCTGTCAATAAGTATCCAAGAAGTTGTTTAAAAAAGAAGTTCCTGTGAAAAAAAATGACGCCCCCGCCTTGCCAGTGAGCTGCTCCACCAAGTGGCCGATGGTCATCCGTGAAGGAATGGCGTGGGGGTTCATGATCTGCCAACGTTTGCCACAGTCTCTCGCAAAATGTCTGGCAAATTGGGCTGGACTTAAAGAAGTGCTTGGCTGGAATTCTGCAAAGCA